AACAGGTTCACATCACCTGTTTAAGAAAAAGGAGAACACCACAACCAGCCTCTGCCCAGCTATTATCACTGGAACATTCTTCCCAACCCAAATCTTTTTCTTCCTGAGATTTAATCCGATTACCTCCCAGTGATATAATCCAATCCCATTCTTCTTGAACGGCGCTGTGTTTTTATGTAGAAAGGGATGTCTGTAAGATTACTTAACCCTGATTGGCTACCCTTTAACTCCCCATTTTAGCCAAACAGGTTGGCTGATAGGCCGTGGGGGGAAGAGTTACCACCATGCCTGGCTAGCTTATTAGAACAGGGTGAATTGGCCATGCTGGAATTATATAAGACACCGTCTTGAGCCGGTACCTAATCCCATGGAAGATGAAACAGGGGAATGAAGAATTGAGCAGGTACATACTAAAAAGGGCTGTGTAAGTAGGGGCACCCGCCTACCTGTCTGGTGAGGTTGCCCTCCATTATTCTTTTATGTGTTGCATAACACCATCCATGTGTAATTTCTTTTTTGGAAATGAAAACGTTGGACATGTCCCTATCTCAAGGGGTTCAAACCTAAAGCAGACGTAAGAAAAAACAGAGGGGAATGGGGTACAAGAAGAATTTCAAATATACATATACCCTGGCTTTTTAATCGAAGTAGACGGGTAATGAACCCAATGAAAAGAAACAAGATTTAGAGGATGGTGACAGGGGAGGGCCGTAATGTTTGAAATAACCACCTCAGAGCAAGTCGAGAGTTCAACAATTCATGGTACACGATGGTTCTCTGGAAAATCGCTGATGTTCTTGAGGTGGGAGCAGCTACCTGGGCAGACATCCCATCCAAGCAACCTGTTCACTCCTGAGCACACAGAGCCTCTTCCTGGACTTTTATTTTGAGGACATTGGATGGGTGGTTGTGCACATGAATCAATAGCAATGCATTCTGCTAAAAAGTCATGTATAATAATTTAACATAATAAAACCACGACACAATACTAGAATTCTAAAACAGTAAATCATTCAAGGTGCACTCCTGATGCAATTTTAGACAGGAAAAAAAGTCTTAGGTGGCTGGGGCTGGTGAAACATGAATAGAATTGCACCCTAGAATTATGTAACGTAAAGGCGAGTATTATGGCATCCAATCAAAGCAGGAAACAGTCTGGATGTAATCCACAAGCAATCAGTATCTATCACCCAGGCCAAAAAAAATACATTATACAACTCAGAAACCAAAATGGCACAATGAGATAAGCTAAAAAAAAGCAGGGGCATGTTCAGTCCTTCGGAATCTGTAAGAACCTCTCCTTTCCAAAGAATCGGCAGGCGAACCCAGAACCCCTCCCCTAGATCACCAAAGCGTCGCACCTTTTTTAACAGCTGCACTTGCCCAACGAAGCATTTTCCTGCTTGGAGATTCTCCAGCACTGAGAGACACTTGGCCTGCTGCATTTCTACCTCTTGTACTGAAAGCTGGGAGGAACCCTCCTGTGTAGGGCAGCAGAAATGACTCCAGTCCAGAGAGTATAATGTGTGGATCACGCAGCTGACCAGGGCAAGCCGGCCTATCCCAGCCCCCAGCCCCCAGCCCCCAGCCCCAGCCCCGCCTCCAAATAGGCCTCAAGAGCAAATGAACTGGAAAGAAATAAAGAAGGATGAAGCGAAAGGAGGTGACCAGGAGTCCCACTCGGACTAGAGACTTTTTATGTAAGTGAACTGCTGAGTGACATTAAGACCTCGAGAACAAACAACGTAGACAAAGCAAGCTTTCACTGGGCAAGGTAGGACCCTTCGTTTATTCCTTCCAAACAACTCCGGTTCTACAATGTTCTCATTGATCCAGTTGTGAAATATTTAGGATGCTTATCAAGAAAAGAGTGTACATACTGAGCATGCAGCCCAGGAGAAAATCAGGTTGCTGCTACAAATTCTTCCCTTGTAGAAAATGCTAGATAGAATCAGAATAGTAGTTGGAAGGGGCCCAGAAGGCCATCAGGGTCCAGTCCCCTGCTCAACACAGGACCCCAAGTTAAAGCACCAAAGATCCTTGTATAGCGGCCCAATCCCATTCATTTTTAGAAAGAAACCCCACTTTCTTTAAAAGGAATTGCATCTAAATTAGCACATCAAGGATCACAGATTTAACTTCCAAACCTCCCACCGCCCCCATCAAAAAGCCTTGCTTAGTACCTTGCATGTATATAGACAGTAGGACAGAAATCCATCTGTTGTCTCTAAGAAAAGGTATATAGCTACACAATTTTGGATTACACCGCTAGGCTGCAGTTGATTTATTTTCAGAAGTGTTAAAGAGTGCTTCACATGCACAAGTGACTCCCAACATAAAATACCCGATCAATGGTATCATAAAACTCAAGAAATCTCAGTCAAACTGAGATAAATTAAAGTAGAACACTGTTCAACCAGCTAAAAGATCCATCCAGTTTTAATAAACTGCTAAGACGTTTAAAAACCTTGTCAGATAGAAAAATTTTTAAGCTGGTGCTAGAATGAATTCACTGAAACCAGTCTGACGTCCCTTCATGCCTCCATGGTTCACTTTTCATACCAAAGGTGGGGAACTTCTGGGACAAAGGCCTTCAAGCCTATTCATTCAGTCTTCAGACTATCCCCAGACCAAACCCCTTCTCCAACCCTGTTCCAGGTTACTGATACTACATAGCCCATCCTGCTTATGCCAGTCAACTACAAAACTGATGGAAAGAACTTTACACAAACTAGGGGAGGAGAATGGTTGGACATAAGCATTTTCCCCACCTACTATTTACTGAACAAAGGTTAAGAGGAGTCACATCTGTAACACCCTCCACTTGGGGTTCTGGCCCAGCCAATTGCAGGAACATTGCGAGGCTCATGCGAATGGGACGGCATACAAAAACTCCAAATAAACAAACAAACGTGGGTCCCAAGAGGTTTTAACGTGGGCCATGTAGCTCTTGACAGGAAGAGTTCCCTCCCTCCGATTTAGATGCACACTGATGCTTGTCGTAAGCACTCTGTATCGCTGCGACGTGGGTTGTCTTGCTCTTCCTCCGGTTAGCTTATTTCCCCAACCGTTCCAATGTGTGTAGCTCTAGGGCCATGCACAATGCAACTGTACACATGCCTATTTATAAATACAGCCCACTGGGCTTGATAGGGCTTGCTTTCAAATATATGCTTCCACCTAAGCAAGCTCTATGCAGAGCAGGGCTTGGAGGTGCCAAAGTCCACACTTTGGGAAGGAAGAACAGAACAGAAGATTGGGGGGTGGGGCAAGAGAAGCGAGGAAATGTTTTGGAAACCCTGAAAAGAGCTCCTATATCATACTCTCTTTCAGAATGAACAGGACACTTTTAAAACCCCCTTTCCCAATAAAGTGTCCTCCAGATATTCTGGGCTACAACTCCCCCGTCACCACAGCCAAGGATCAGAGATGGTAGGAGCTGCAATCTAAACTCTGGAAGATGAATGACAAATTACTCCTGCTGCCAACTGCTGTGGCACCCAAATCCTGCACACAGAGGAGCTCTTGTTCTTTTGTACTGCAATAGCTAATAGGGCTACGCTCTGGAAATTTCACCGAGAAGGCGTCCCCATGGTTATGAATGGAGGGTGTTGGGCCTTCCTTGTGGCATGCCATCTTTTAGTGATCTGATCTACTCCGGAGACACTGCAGCAGGGATGACACCCCAGTTCCCATCATCTCTCACGGTCTGATGGGCACTACAGTCCACCAGCATCCCCGGAGCACACATTCCCTGCCTCCCTCCCGAGGACTAGAAGCAAGTACCCCCGTTCTGCATGCACAAAGCTAAAGCTGCAATCCTACACATGCTTACCTGGGCTGAAGTCCGGCTGAACTTAAATAGGGCTTACTTTGAGCACCTATGTATAGGATCGTGCTGTAAGACATTTATACTCTTAAGGCCGCAATCCTATGCATAGGGGATTAAGCGCCACTGAGCAGAGCAAATCCTCATTGGATTCCTCTGTAGATTTGATGGATATGAGAAACGGTACCATTTTTATATGGCAAGTAACTCATAAATGGTGTATTTCATGCTAAAGCAGTAAAATCAAGGCGTGTTTGACCAGAAAGCAAGCATAGCATTGTTTGCAAGTTCTCCACTGATTTCTGGGGAAGGAAGAAAAACATGTTTTTTACCATGGCTTCAACATTTCTGGAAATGTTCTCTTTCTAGCAGGGATCTGAAGTCTTCCCAAATCTTAGTACAACACTCATAACTACACCACCACCTCACCTCCCATCCCTATTCAGGAAGTCTCTCTTTCCAAAACAGGACATCTGATGTAAAAACAGTGATTCTGGATTTCATGTGCCTGGATTTTAAAGGCTCGATGGGCCCAGTCTGCTAGCCATCAGAGAGTGAGGCTTACGACACATCAGAGAGCCAAGCTGGGAAAGTATGAGACGTGCCCGACAGCCTCCTTCTGCCACTGACAGCTTTGGATTCTTCCCAACTCGTGTGGACGACAGGAAAGGGGAGGGGGCCCACCAACACAAGGAGTGCTAACTCAGCCACTCTCCGGGTGAGGGCTGTGGGAGGGGATGTGAAAAATGGATTGCACTTTCTGCATTGGATTGCACGTTCCTTCACTGGGCCAAGAGGAGATTTCCAAGAGGCGCTTGCATGCATGGTTCCAGCATTTCCAGTTTCAGCTGTTCTCCGCCCCAGCCCCCCAGCCCTTGCGAAACTAACCATCTGTTCACTCTTGAAGATCAGTTTTGGTTGTCTGCTGCACTTGGCATGGGCTATCTTACAGCAATTAAGGAGTGTGCTGCTGCCAAGGATCCAGAGTTCAAGGTGAGCTAAGAGGCAGTTATTATTGAGGGAACCCTGGCAAAGGTCCAGGAATACAGAAATATTACCTGCAGCCTACAAGAAATGCAGGATGACTGACAGCTGCTCCCCGACTCGAGATCGTTCGACAAAACGTCTGTGCCGAGTGAACAGAAATCAAAATATCCAAACCAGTGGCATCTGTAACTTAAATGTTTGTTTTTATTCACATTGCTGCCTCACACCAACCAAAGAGCTTAGAAAAGCACCAGTTAGATGGACACGAAGCTGCCAGGAAGAGGAAAGAAGTAAAATTTTCAACACCCGGAATAGTACTGTGGATGTCAACCCAGAAACAGATGCAGAAAAGTGTCAGGCTGTGCCAATGTCCTTCCCTTCTGTGGTGTATCCTTCATATCCAAGAGCTTCTCCATGTCTGTTCAGGGACAGGCAAGGGCAGCTCATTCTCACAGGGCCATTGGCCCATCCTTCCAAGCTCCGCAACACAAAAACAAGGGCAGAGAAAGCAGCAAGAGTGGGGCGCCAGTCTGCAAGGTTAGCTGTGAGGACGCCGCCACCAAGGAACCAAACCACCCATACGCAGCGTAACAAGTGCATGCGGAATATTGTGCTTGTGGCATGCATGTGATGGGGAGGCGAGAGGCATGTTTGGGCGCAAGCCAGCGAAGGACGGTCTCTGCTCCGGAAAACCTCGCGGCTTTCCGAAGGCCCTCTTCTCCCAACGCTCGGTCATGGTAACCGTAATGCTAAGTCCCATGAGAGGGGCTGAGAAAGATCTCCTGGTTTCTTGGAAGAGATGAGCCCCCTGCAGCCTTCTCCAGATGCATTCCATTCCAGACTATCCAATGGCCAGTGCCTTGGGCCACAGGACCTCCCTGGTCCCCATCAGCTGCGGAAAGCATGTACTGATGCAAGAGAGCAGCAGAGGGAAATTTAAGGTGCCTTCCACACCGGTGCAGGTTTGGCTGGGGCAAGTGACCTAAATTTGGGGGACATAACAGGACATTAGGGTTCTAAGACCTAAAGGCACCCCACGGACACACCCATGTTCCTATTTGGCATATCTATCCGAGCTGAACGGTCGTCTCGCTGCCCGGTGAGAGCAGCAGACAGTGAGGAGGACTGGAGCCCATGAATCAGTCAGGTTAGTGGCTGTCAGTTGAGTTTTTAATCACCCCTCAGCCTCTCCAAAGGGTGGAGATGGTCGGCTGCCAGGCCAGGCTGCTCCGGCTGAGAAGGAAGGGGGGCCAACCTGAACGAAGCTCTGTTAGGATTTCGATTTGGCGATGGCCAGGCCGATGAGGCCGGCCAGGCCCGCTGCGCCCAGTGCCATGCCGCCGACAATCGCCATGCCAACCAGGCCATCTGCAGAGAGAACAGAGAGAGGTCATCCTTGAGCCCTGGCTAGGAACTGAGAAACTCTGACGCTCTTTGGACTGGGGCCTAGGAAAGGGGGGCTGGACAGACCCTGCCACTGCCAGGTTGCTACGGGGACCAGCTACTCTCCTCTCCCCACCTTTTCAGAGCGCCCAGCTCTCTGCCCCCAACGACCTGAGTGATGTGCATCTCCACTGCTGATATAAAGCAATCCTTTCTTTTATCAGCCTCAGCCAGGGTGGGCAACACAGAGGTCCAGGATGTGGTTCAAAACACGCCACATCTGAATTTCACAGGTGGGAAAACAGCCCCTGAAACTGGGTAGCCCATTCTGCGGCAGCAGTTCTGGTGTGCCCCTCGCTGCCCACCGACACAGAAGGTTCCAGAAGCTGGAACTGGTTCCTGGATCCTCTGAAAAAAGTTCACCTTGCCCCTGGCAGATGGAAATCATCGTTGGTGCTTCAGCCTGCTAAATGTATTTTCCTAGCCTTGCTGAGAAATTTTGGGAGATATCCTTAAAATGGATTTCACAGCATTGGACATGGATGGTGAGATGGCTTCAGCACCTTCCACCTTGACCACTTAAGCCCTGGTGCAGATGTACCAACCCCAACCCAAGCCACCATGGCTTGTCGGACTAGGACGAAGCTCCTGTTCAATGGAGCTCCTTGATTTGGTCAGCCACGGCTTCCTGTGGTGTCCAAACTGGGAAGCTGTGTCCTGCACAAACCCTAGAATCTAACTGGGGTTGGAAAATCTGTTCTGCAAGGACTGGCTTAACAGCGTTTTGATGGACCAGGACTGCTACATCCGAACCAGGCTAGAAAAGGCATGGAAAGAGTTGCCCTCCTAATATTAGTAAACAAGAAATGTACTTGATTTTACATGTAATTATAGCAAAGATTGCATTTGTGTGAGGTGAGGATTGCATTTGCCCAACACTGGAAAAGTGAAGAATCACCCACCGATGAACTGATCCTAAAAAAGATCTTGGACTGTGCAGAAATTGACAGATTGACTTTGTCATTGAAGGAGAAAGAAGATACTGATTTCTATCAAACTTGGGACTCTTATTATTGGCTAGAGAAACGGGACTTTGTATAGATTTAAATATGTTTTTAAGTTATCATAAATAGAAAAAATGTGGGGGCTGACCCAGCAGGTCTGATGTTTCTGATGATTGATGCTGTTTTTAGTTTTTCTTTGTATAAGATTTTGAATAAAAATTATTTTGAAACAGGAAAAGAAAGAAAGAGTTGCCCTCCCTCCACCTTGGCCCTCTAACCTTTCTGCATGGCTTTGTTAATGAGCTTTTCCAGCTCCAAGGCTTGCGTGTTGCTCGGCTCTGTCTTCAGCAACCCCCGGATATACTTTAGAGCTTTCTCATATTCCTGCCACAGAGAAAGAAAGAATGAGAGAGAAAGAGAGAACAGTAATGCATCTGATGTATGGGAGGTCACGTTTAGCTTTGAGTGCGCTCATCCAAATGCAGGAGACTCCTTAGGAAAGTTGGGGTATCCATCTTAAATGAGGAAAGCGATGGACCAGAAAAGTTACGAGTTTACTGTTAAATGCTTGTAATATTGCTGATTTTACGAAAAACCAAAGCACGCATAATACACAAGGTTCCTAAAAGTTAGAAAGTGACTTTAAATTTGCAGAGAATGCTTTAAGAAGAAATGCAACATGTTTTTGTTCTTCCTGCTGCCCCACATTCTTGGGTTTTTCCTTCAAAATATTTTGCTTCACAGTTTCTGGGCATTTTACTTCTGTAGGAGTGCGAAACAGCAAGCAGATAGAAGCCTGGTGAGTCTTAAAAGCCGAGATAAAAGAGCTAAATATCCTCATTTTCTAAAAGGACTTAAGGTCACCTAAGGTTGACTAGAGAAAGTCAGACTAGAGCAAGAGCAGCTTATCCTAGACAATGGCCACAACGTCTTTCAAGAAATAAAATACAAGAAAGCAAGCCTGGCAGTGACTATTCGCTGCAGCAAACAAACAGGACGTCCGTGTCTAATGTGACAGCATGTCCAAGTACAAAATGACAAGGAAAAGAGAAAGGTGAGGGCTGCACTCACAAGCTTCCCAGTGGCACCTGCCAGGTGGCTGTCAGGAAGAGTAATCTGGGCTGGGTGGACCTTTGCCTTGGCCATTTCTAGGTAAGGCACAGACTCCTTGAAAGAGAGATAGTGGCAGTTCCAAAGGTTCTTGTCTCACAAGCCCAGTCCAGAGACATCTCCTTCAAAACACCCACTTTCTCCCTTCTGGCTTAAGACAAGGAACTTGAGCTCTGCTGGGGAACAAAGCCACCCCACGGGAGAAACCAGGAAATAGGAAGCCGCAGTTACTCAATGGAAGGCACTTCGTTTCAGGGATACAGCCTTGCACAGCGCCATCTCGTATGTTTTGAAGTGGGCAGGAATGGAATCTGAATTTCCCACCTGCAAACCCGACAGTTTATCTATTGCAGAGATGGGGAATCTACAGCTTTGGGTCAGATCCTCCACCTGGGATTCTGCATGCCCCCTTCCCTTGGCCCCATCATTCTTTCACCAACCAGTGATCACGGGGGGGGGGGGGGGGGGGGCTCTGGCTTTCTACAGTCGCCACCTGCACCTCGGCCTTTCTCAAATGCCGGGATGCCTCCCCTAAAGTTTAGTTAACGGCAGTAAGAGATTTAAGCTACACCATCCTGGTACTTTGGTCCTCTTCTTTCCACCTCTGGTCCTGTCCCCTTTATATTCAAGCCCTGCCCATCAAGGAAATGCAGCCCCTGGGAGTTTCCCCAAAGTTGAATATAAACCTGAAAGAGCTTCCCCACCTGACCTGCGGCACCATAAATGCAGGGCAGCTGCAAACATGGCTGGCCCTCCACTGCCACTGACTCAAGCTTGCCAATCCTAGACTTGCTGCTCAGGGCAGGCCTCCTCCAGAGTAACATGCTTTGGATTGCACAGATCTTTCCCCATCGCAGCTCAAGTCTCTCCTTATCTGCCTTGCTGTCTCCACACACCCATGGCAGAAGAGTAATGATAAGCTAGTCTTCCAGTCCATAAAGTGCACAGATAATAACAAGCAGGACTGATATGTGTGGGCACCACCCAATTTCGACAAGGTTTATGAGGCTGGAATTAGCTGCCAGAGATAAGAGAAGGCCAAGGTAATAGGAGGCACAGGACTTTCATCCCAGTGGAAGGAGCGGATTTCTTCTTACCGGGTTGGGTGTGCCAGCGAAGGACCCCCACCCCCCACCCAAAGTTCACACACATACCATGGCTTTTCAGCACTACCCCAAAAACAGGTGCTGTGACACAATGCATACAGATGTTTTAAATGAATAAATCGTTGCCTATCGACATCACCCCGCAAGCTGCAAACTGATTGTTAAATCTCCAGGGAGAAAGTTGCTCAAAATTAAGCACAGATGTCCTTATGGGCCATCAGATGCTGGGGAAGGGGCCAGGGAGAAAACAGGGCGGTGCAAGGGAAGGATGACTTTCCCTAAGCTCTTCATTCAGGTTTCAATCATTAGAGATCCAAAGCTCTGTGGACTGCCTCGCGGAGCAACCCCTTGCAACAAGGTGTCCCAGATCAGTCCCAACAGGAAGAAAGGGACAGTGACTGTGACAGGCAGTGGGGAAGACAAGCAGATGGGACCAAGCAGCGTTCAGGATACCTCAGCAGGTGTCACTTCGAGAAGAGAACAAGGGAAGGGAGAAGCTGGAACATGAACCACTTGCTCCTGTTTCTGTGGGTTTGGACCGCAAGCATCTTTGGAAGTTTGGCTGAAGAGCAGGGGTATAAACTTAGCAAATGGCAAAATCAAAGCCGGTGCCAAGCAAAAGAAGCGGGTGAGTTGGGACACCACCAGCAAGCTCACCTTCAAGCGGTAATTGGCCACCGAGAGATAGAAGATATAATCGCGCTGCTCTTCTTTGTTCCCTTTGGGCAACAGATCTAAAAAGTCAGAGAAAAGGAAATCCACTTAGATCCATTTCCTAATAACACTATATTATGTGTATAATTACCTCTCTATTCTAACTCTCTATTCATCATGCAGATGAATGCCTATGGCACTCTCCTTTCCCTGCTCCTACTAGCAGTGGCATAAAAATTAACCTGCCTCAAGAGGAACCCTGCCTGGACCCTCGACAACCAAATCCCAAGCGCCATCCTAGCTCTTGGCATTCGGCAAGCTGAGCGTAAGGGCGAGGGTACCAGTTACGGAGAGGAGCTGTGACAGAGGCACATGTGAGCTTACACCAAGGCGTTGTGGCTGCTTGATGAAAGAATACAGCAGAACAGACGGCTCAAGGTGTGACAGACGCTGCAGAACTGCAGCCAGTGGTAGAGGTACAAGAGTGGAGGTGTCCCCACCAGGACAGGCCCCTGAAGGAGTTTTGCCACTCCACATGACCCTCACCAAGCAGTAGCGGGAGAAACAACACATCACAGAAGTTTATAAAATTATGCGTAGCGTGGGAAAAGCAGGCATAGATTCTTCTCCCTTGCTCGTAACAGCGGAAGTCAGGGCTACCCAATTCATGGGCTGGCAAGCAGAGTTGGGCTAGCCAACAAACTTCTCCTATGCACAACCCGGCTCCAGGCTGGCCCCAGCTGGAAACACAGCACAGAACTAGATGGGCACAGGAAAGACCTTGCTCCCAGAGGCTTCCTTCTCTTTTCCTAGAACGGCTCGTCAGCCCAGACGGGAGCCAGCGATCGTTCCAGGACTGCAAAACTCAGCTGGGAGACCAGCTCCGCCCAGGAGGCCTGCTGGGATGCCTGTCGGTGGCACCGGCCCAGCCCGTCTAGCTCTTCTCCTTGCCTCTCTCGGCACAGTGAGGCACCTCGATCCGCATGGAGCGCGGGCCCTGGCAAGCACGGGGAGGTGGCATCCGCTCGAGTCCCTGCCTCCATGCAGCACTTGGCACCCGTCTGCCATGTGGCGCAAGTGTTGAGAAGGGCAGAGGCTTTCCCAAGGGGCGCCAGAGACCCTCACTACCTGCATCCCAGCTGTTATAGATATGCAGGTGAGCGAGCAAGGCAAAGAGGCCAAGTCCCGTCGCTGGAGGAGCCTCAAAGGGCCCTGCACCTCTGGAATAATTTTCCACCACTGCATTTCAAAGCGCCATTTGCTGAGGAGGAGGAGAAAAGCCTTCCCACAGGCTGGGTCAACGCCGGCCCTTCTGGTGACAGCTGCTCTCTGGGCTTCAATCAAATGTCCCTGCCGTGTCCCCAGAGAAGACACTGGAGGGCAAGAAGTCAGCCTTGCAGTGCACAGATATGTGAGTTTCGGGAAAAAAACTATTTATGCTCGAGGTGGCGCTTGGATGGCTGCTTTGCTGGGAAGGAGGACTATTTTGCAAGGGTGCTGTGGGGAGGCTGCTCTCCTCTACTGCTCACCTTCCAGGAGGACGATGCCCTTCTTGATGTCGTCGTTGTATTTGCTGCGGACCAGGCACCAGGCATACTCAAATTTGGTCCCTTTGCAGACATTGCCTTCTTTCAGCTCTGCATTGAACTTCTTCTCAAATCTCTGCAGAAGCAAACAAAGAAAAGGAGAGTGGGGAGATGGAAAGAGGGAAAGAAGGTGCAGCAAATTCCCTCATCTCTTCCATCCAATGAGTGGTTTTCTACGTCTCGAGAAATGTGTTAGAGGGTCGACCTGAAACAATCCTGACCGTGGCACGCCACAGAGGTAGAGAGTGACAGATCGCAGAGGAGCGTCAAAGGCCTCTGGGCTATGGGGGAAAGGCGCCAATTGCTACAGGCACCTCTGTGAGAGACATGCTGGGAATCCAAATTGCATGCATTAAAACTGTAACTCGGCTACAGCAAGAGAGTGTAATTCCGGGCTGCTGCTGCTGCTGCTCTGAGGTTCCAGTCCAGCCCCATGAGGCAGATGGCCGCATCCCCCAGCCACTGATCACCTGCTGGCTCCCTGGATTTGGTGCAACCCTCTCCAATCCCCCTTCTAACAGGCCGAAATGCTTCTTCTCAATCTTAGTTACTGGCTGCAAGTAACTAAGCTAAAACAAGGAAATATTTGGGGTGTTTTGACTCCACTCCTTCTGCCTTTGAGCACACGTCCCCCGGAATGCAGGCCCCACCACCCTCGCTCCAAGGGCTTCTCCAAAATGGAGTTTGGCCTTTGAAATAAAAGTGGTTCAACGCCACTGGTGTAACACACAACACACACACACTAGCGTTTATTGCTTCTGCTTGCTGTTGACTGCTGCCATGGCAGCACTTTGCCCATTATCGTCTTCTCACCTGAAAAAGGTGAGCACCGATGCAGAGTGCTGGCCCAGGGCTTTATGATAGGATGAGCTGGCGGCACGGGTGGACTTTCAACTTCATTTCGTCGACCCATACACAGGAAGCAGCCCGATACCAGGTTAGGCAACTTGTCCCTCTGGTTTGGTGTCGATTACTGCGGCTTGTGGGAACTCTCCCATCGCCTGCTACCTGATCCGTTTCAGCGGGCGTTGCCAGAGATCAAGCTCAGGGCCCTCCTCTGCCTGGTCCCTCACCCGAGAGATGGTCTGTCAATCGCTTCTCACCTGGGTGTTCCAACCCGTGTGGTTGTCATGAGGACGAAAGGAGATGAACCAAAGCTGGCAGAAGAGCTCAAATTCCTTGGCACCACCACCTCGCCCTCTCACTTCCCCACAAACTGCCAGCTGGCACGGCAACGGGGCCGTTTGTTTGCTAAACTAGGGGTGCCATCGGGGAACGAGCTCTCAGCTTTCATCGCTGCGTTCGGCAGGCAGAACCCCTCCTTGGTCAGAAATCCAGCCCAGGAGGTCATTTGCCTGCAGATTTCCTGCCCATTGTGTTCAGGGAGGGGTTCCTGCATCTTTAGGGTATGAGGACCACCTGACACAAACCTAATCTGCCTTCTTAGCACGGCTGGGAACGGGTTGGAGGAGGAGCCTGCTTCCTGCTCCAGCTTCTCCAAGGAGTACACAAGAATAGCAGAGAGATGCAACGGGCTGATAAGGAGAAGAACTAAAGTGGGGGGAGCTCAGCAGCTGGAAGGCTGAGTGGCTTCATGGGCTGGGTCAGCAGAATCTCACACACACACTGGACCCTCTCAGAACACAACAGAAAGGAGGAACTGGAAGGGACCTGGGCGGCACCTTATGCTCTGCAATGCAAGCCAGTGCAGTGTGAAGCCCTTAGGCTAGAAGACCAGGCCTGCTCTGCCTTCCCCGCTCCTGCAGAGTCGAGACTCAGGGAAGAGGGATTTCTCAGCCATTACATAACAAGTATGGAGCTATTTAGGCTCTCAGACCCAGACTGCTGTCCTGCCCTGGCAGTGGAAGGGCTGGCCCTCCCCAGATCTCAACCCAACACCCTACTGTTTCTGTGCCAGGACAGACAGGACGTCACCTCTGCCTCCCTCTGCAAGGGGGGATTCTCGATGCAAAGAGGGACAGCGCGGCAGCACAAAGTTCTCTTTCGCTTCCAGCTTCGGTGCACGAGCAGGCAGGGAAAGCACGTGCGGGCTGAGGCCTCCCTGGCCAAGATGCAGATGAGAAAACACTATACCACTCTTCCTTTAGTTTGGGGGCTTTCTTTATGGCTTACTGTATCTGTTTCTGAACGAGCCACTTTGGAGATTTCTTCCGAATGGGAAAAGTAGAGTAGAAATATTTTAAACTCCTAAGAATCCTCCCCTTTGCCCATGTTCATGACCTGGACAGCTAACGTTTTCTCCAGTCTCTCACCCGTGTCAACAGAGCTCTGCATCTTCTTTTGTGACAAACAAAATAAAAATCAGTTATACATGAGACTTGCAACAAAATAGTGCAGCGTACAATATCTTTCTACCATGTTACTAGAGGAAGAAAGGAAGGGGTGAGGGAAGGTCCAGTCAGTTCTACACACACCATCAGCCTGCACTGCACAGTGAGCAAACACACTCAGGTGAGTTATTTGGGGGGCAGATTGCGCCTTCCTCCAGATTTCCTCACAAACATGCATGCTCTGGAGCAAAATATGGGCTTCCCCCAAGGCTGCCTCAGTTTGGATGCTGCCCTCTTGATCATTTAAGCATCTACACTCAGCCCTGAACTCGGGAGATACCAAGAAATGGATACTCAAGTTAAAATGCCGAGAGGTACCCAAAAATAAGACCAGATCTTATATTAATTTTTGCTCCAAAAGATGCAAAAAGGCTTATTTTCAGGCGATGCCTTATTTTTTCATGTACAACAATCTACATTTATTCAAATACAGCCATGTCAGCTTCTTCTGGAACTTCGTCATAACTCTCCAAACCCTGAATTGTTGCAACAGATGTAATAAATGTGTCCGTCTGGCTGACAATCTTAACTGGGGCTTATTTTGGGGGTAGGGCTTACATTACAAGCATCCTGAAGCATCATGCTAGGGCTTATTTTCCGGTGAGGTCTTATTTTCAGGGAGATGGGGTAAGAGATGTGTGTGCATATGCTTTTTTGCAAAGGTCGGGAAATGCAGCCTGGCTGCAGAACTTTCGCTGCACCGTTTGCAGACAAGGAGCTGCTGCAACAGGAAGTAACAGGCTTAGCATTTACCAAGCATTATGCAAGGCTGATGGAAATAACCAGGATTGTGCTGTCAGAAACCAAACACTGCTCTTTTGTCTCCAATCAACTGACTGGATAATTCACCCCCAATGCTTCCCAAAGCAGCTGAGCTCTTCCTCACAGCACTGAGGGATTTGGGCCGAGTGGGGACGGGGGGTTGCATGTGCACAAACTATTCCTATCCCAGTGGTGGGCAAAATGGCCAAATGCACCCAGTGCAACAAGGGGTACAGACTTTTGTGTTTTTTTTCCTTTATTTTTTTTTTTAAACAGGGAGAACTTCCGCTACCACGATGAGAATGAGGTGACCTTTAGCAGCAGGTGGAGGTGTAAATTCTTCAAGAGGTTCACCAAGATGGACCAAGACAAGCCAAAGATCTGTCCAAGTGGGTGGGACGGCTCATGCACCTGCTCGAAAACCTACGTTTACTAAAAACAGCTGCTTGAGATGTCACCGGCCATAAAATGCCCTTTTCATTTTAGTTTTAAGGAAACAGAAGTCTGTTTAAACAAACACACTCTGGTTGCAACACTGAAGCTCAAATGCCTGGAAATACCTAAGCGAAGCCAAGAAGAGCTCTTAAGAGCGCCTTGCCTTCCTTTTTTCCTGGGAGAAGGAAAGGGGGAGGAGGAGGGTTTTGCCACTGCACTGCACCCAGGCCCCTTGAGCCAGTCTTCCAGGTACCTTCCCAAGAGGCAACAGGGCATTTTGGTAGCAGTGGTCGATCGTGAAATCTGCCGACGAGCCGACGCCGAGGCGCGATGGTGAAAGCCCAACCTCCCAGTTGGGCACATTGATGGAAGCCAAAGCCACGTAAATCATCAACTCAACCCGCCAACAGATCGATTTAAAGTATGACTTTCCACCTGGGGAAGTGGTCACCCATTTCGGCCTGCAAGGGCACAACCAGTGTTTTGAAGAGGAGCCAACTTTTGCAGCAAAGATGATTCCAGATGTTCTTAGATTGCAACTCCCACCATCACCAGCCACTGACCATGCTGGCTGAGGCTGATGGGAGCTGGAGTCCAACAGGTTGCCAGTCCCTGTTTTGTGACACAAGCTTTCTCGGGCTAGGGCCCATCCCAAATACATTAAATGTTACCTTTAAATGAAAGCTGATCGCGCACACACTCCCCTGCATACAGAACGGGGAGCAGAAAGGGCTAAATCCAATGTTAGCCCTACACAGAACAGACCAACTGAAGCTGGTCGCACAATACCACAGTGGGTTCTGCAAGCTTTGCTAGATCCACCCATAGTTCCAGTCGGTCAGATCCACACGACATGACAAGCCGCAGCAATGCAAGTCTGGAGGGTGGCAGATTCACAATGGTGCTCAGCACACAGCACAACTCCTGAGGGGTAAATCCACCTATGATAGTTTGCTGAGTTGTGTCAACCAGGTCACTCAAATAAGCGGAACTTAAGTTAGTCATGGCTACTTGAGCTTGGCAGTGTCGAAGTCAGATGGTTATCTGCAGCATGAAATGCAGGAGAGATTGCATTAATGTCATTTAAGTCTCCATGTGAAATGGAACTATTGTTAAAATAGAGGCGTTGGCCAACACATCATGCAGAGTTATTTGGGATGTATTACTTTGTCAACTGTTTCAGCACCTGTGGGGTTTTCCCACCTTCAATTTACACAGTGTAAAGGAAGTGGATGTTACTGCCTTTTAATTTTTACAAGCATTCCAATAAAAGTGTCTCCATATTACATTTAAGCTACAGTAAGTGCACTTCAATTTTCCCCTCCTTTGACTTCAAACAATTTGACTTTGTTTGAAGTCAAATACCTGTGGTGTGCCGGGACAAAAAAGTAACTTGGGGATCTTCATTTTAGTTTGTTTGCTAAGGGAGCAAACCAAACCAGATTCCCAAAGCCCTCAAGCCCTCCTAAAGTCATTGGGCAACCAATGCAGACTGGGAAAAGTGTGACAGCAAAGGTTATTCCTGCACTCTTCCCCATCAAAAAAGATCAAGATTGCCCATCAAAGTGCCACACGGTGGGGAGGGAGGCCTGTCTCATGCCCTCCTCACCCTCTCGAATGCCAAAAGAGCCCTTCTTCCTGATCACATCTGCAATCTTAGAGAAGCAGCTGGCATGGCTCTTTCCACATGAGCTATGAGGGGGATAAGATGCTCTAAACATGGAGCCCTTGCTATTAGTGAGGTTCTCAGGCTGGAGCGAAATTCTAAAAAGCCCTGTGGCCGTCTAGCAGTCATAGAATCACATTGACAAGAAGGAAGACTAGAGTTGGATCCCTCTAGGGCATCAGAAACTTTTCTGATGCAAGCTGAGCATGTCCCAGAAAACCCCTGGAACCGCCTACCCACCACGTCACTTCCTACCACTTTTAAAGAATGCTAGCCCAGCACTGTACGGTATGACATTGTCTAAGCTGGCGTACATAGACTGGGCAGGCTAGCCTAGATTTTAAGAGGCAGGCTTAAACAACCTTTTCCCTTTTAAGTCGGGTTATTTTAAAATGAGAGGCATATACTAAAACTGAAGTGTTAAACTGCACTTTTAAAGAATCCATCCTCCCTGCCAACTTTAGCAAAGTGGTCCTCCAGTGACATTGGTTGGCGAGCATGCCAGGTTTGAATACCCAATAAAGCACCTGCTACCATTTCAGCCGTTCAGCTAACATATCCATCTGTCAGGAAGCTCCTTGGAGCGCCTCTGGATATCAGTCCCACAGGTTCAGTATTGTCTACACCAGAGGCAGGCAGAAAGCGGATGTTACAACTTCAGCTCCCAGAAGCTCTTGTCAGGATGGCCAATTGTCAGAGAGCTGAAACCCATCACTTTTGGAGACTGACTTCCTGCCTATCGTGGCCTATACTGGCTGGCAGTGTTTCTCCAGTGTTTAAGACAGCATCTTTTCTAGCCTGTCTGGAGAAGCTGGGGATGGAACCCAAGACTTTCTGGTGTAAAACTCTTGGGAGTGACTCATGTTTGCACATGAATTGGCTACTTGCACAGGACATCACGGATCACATCAGTAGGCAGAGCGTTTGCATACAGATGTTTCTTCCACACTGCTACTTGCTGCCCATGTGGATGAAGACAAGCCATGCATTGAGATCGACCAACAGTTCTTCCGACACTTAGCAATGACCGTGAGAGATCAAAACACTTTAAAAAGAGGCAGAATTTCAGCAGCCCTTAACAAGTATATTGAGTAGTGTTCAAGCTGTGTCATTCAAAAGGTTTACAGCCTGCCCAATCAGTAGGATACCAATAGATTTGTCGTGCAATCCTATGGACATTTCAAAAGAAAGAAGTCTTACAATGTGGCTGAGTGGGGAATGTGGGGAAGTACAGAATTTTCTTCTGTCTCAGCAGCCTAAGAGTTGTGCCCCTAGTTGCAGATTGTATTCTATAACAAAGGTTTAGAATGTACTGGTGTGAATGCTGAAAACTCAAAACTTGCAATCACTTATTATTGCTACTTGAAAAAACAAACATTTGTCCATTTAAAAAAAAAACCTGTATTTTAACAGAACAAGCACTTAAAGGAAAAGGGAAAAAGAACAGAAGAGAAAGAACAACAATTGAACTATTCTGAGCCATGTAAAATCAATCCACCCTAACTAGTAGTCATCAAATAACACATAAGGTCATGTGAATCAGTTCCCAACCATTTTTATTCTGGTAAGCAGCCTGTACTAACAAAGCTACATTGCTCTGCTTTTCCATATAGCTCCATACTACTTCCTGTTTGCTTTCAGGATTAACCCCTTCTCAGAGTAGTGTAGGAAAGGCCTATCATCCCTCTATATCAACACTAATCCACCAAAGGGAGGAAAATTCCAGTCCTGTTCCCAGCAAAACCCTCACAAAGCACCAAGCAGTGCAAATTCCTGGCCCAAGAGTATGGTCTGAAGGCACATAAGGCATCCCCCATGCTGAAGCTAAGCAGGGCTGGGGTTTGCCTGAGATTGGAGGGGAGACCACCTGGGAACTCCATGTAGCCACTGTGAGTTCCGCAATCAGAAAAAGGTGGGATACATACACACACACATATATATATATTAAATAAATTGGATTAAGCATTTGTTTGTTTAGTCACAAAGTCATGCCTGACCCATCACGACCCCATGGACAACATTCCTCCAGGCTCTCCTGTCCTCCGCCACCCCTCAGAGTCCACCCAAGCCCACATCCATTACTTGAACATATTTTCCCAGACTCTGTCAGAAATTTCCTATCCATTTAAAAACTCATATTTTGAGTCTATTATTATTCCTACATTACATTCATATGCTGCTTCTCTACCTCTTGCAAGGAACCCAGGACACGTTACAAGGTTTCCCCTTCCACTTTATCACAACAATAGGTTAGGTAGGTTAGGCTGAGAGTTCATAACTAGCCCAGTTTCCCAGCATGCTTCATGGTACTAAGAACCCAGATCTCCTGAGCCCCAGGCCAATACTACGTCACACTGACTCTAGAAATCTATATGCAAGTGAAACTCAACTTCCCAGTTCTGGTCCTACACTGCCATCATGGAAGGTTGTAGTTACTGTACAGGGTCAGGATGTTCTGCATAAATGCAGTACACAATACCAAACAAAGCCCCAACTCTTATTATCAAGAAAGCATTTTTTTGTTTTGTTTTTTGCAGTCTACCTACTGAGGTAGAAAGAAATAACTGAACTAACTTTCAGCACTATTGCAAAATGAAAGGCTGCAATCCCAGAAATATTTGTGCAATCCCAGAAATCCTGGAACGTACACCCAACAGAACCAATGTACAGGACAGTGACCCGACCAAGAGTTAAAAGAAATGATTGGGTGCCCCCTAGTGGAAGTGCCTCACTCTGTAAGCAATTACTGAACATCTCTCTTATGGAACCTCGAACAAGCACAGGGTTCTGTTAATGTGAGCACAGTGGCCTGATTTCTCACTGGGAGAGAATGGCAGAAGTACATTATTCCAGGCTTCACTGCCTCCATATTATCTTCTGCCCAGAATTAAATGGTGCTTGGTCTCTAATACATCTAAGTGACCAACTCTTCTCATTCAGTGATAAGGGGTCCCCCTTGCTCTTACTTCCAATCAAATAAATTAAATTACTCTCAATTATCTCCAGTCAATTATGTTCAATTCAATCCAATGCAGTCACTGAAGGAAGGGGGGTGGCCCTACTTTTATCTTCAGTTTAATCCAGTAAACTGATTAAAATTATCTTCAATTTAGCCTAAGCACCAGTGGGGGGGCACTGTCCTGCTCTTATCATTAATTAATGTTCTGACAAATGTTCTCTGCAAAGTGCAAAAGCAGGCAAACACCTGCACATTCTAAGATGAGTGAGATAACAAGGCCCAACAGGTACACAAACCTTGTCATCTTCTATTATGTTTCCTAGAATCCCTTGCAACATGCAGAACTTGAATAGTAAAGATGCTACGTACAAACCCATTATAAGAGTGGAATGGATTTCACAGAAATATGAAATTAGTGTCTACTGATAGAAAAAAGGCTTTTTGGAGGGGATCAGGAGTTTGTGAACTGAGAACCAAACCCAACCTCCTGAAGGCTAAAGCTAGCATCTCAAAAGAGGAATCACCAAGATCTTTGCTAGCAGATCACCAAATTTAACAAAATGGGGATGAGAAAGAGAAGACAAAAATGGTCTTCGTATATCACAGCCTTCCCCAACCTGGTGTGCTCCAAATGAGCTGGACTACATCCTCAGGCAGTATGACCTCTGGCTTGCCTAATGTCTATGAATCATTGCTCAAAGGAAATATTCTTCATGAGTATAGTAACTGCACAGGTATGTGTGTGAGAAGGCAGCAGTGTTTCAACTGTAGTGTTTCCCTGAAAGAAGAGAAGTGTGTCCCAAGGAATAAATCATCTATAAATTCAATAGTCTCATTTATTCACCTAGAGGCTGCCCATTACAAGACTGGACATGTGTCTGCTCAGCAGATAAACCAGATGTGGGTCTCCAGATGTTTTGAGGTACAACTCTCACATAGCCAGTTGTGAGGGACAATGAGAGTTGTGGGCCATGACTTCTGGAAGGCCACAAGTTGCCCACCCGCTGTAAACAGCCCCTACTGAAAGTTAACCAAAGCATGACACCTTCATATAGACGCATTCCTGCATGAGCTGCCACTCCGCACTCCCCTTCTAATTTGACCGACACTGAGACAGAGGACCTGGATGCTCTGAAGACACTTTCTTTCCGGCAGTAATCTTCAGTGGTGTAAGAGCGCGGCCCCCCTTTTAGTCCTCTGCCTGCACGTGGAATGTACACCTCAGTACATTTACAAGGAAAAAGGGCCTACAACTCCCAGCATGCCCCCCACCTATGCCGGGCTGAACAGGCATCGGGTGGAGCTCGCCAAAGCTCTCAGGCGGACGGGAAAAGCGGATCCGGAAGAGGAAAGGAGCGGCCACCAGAAGCGAGCCTGACCGCGAAGGCCCCCAGCCCAGCTTTACCGCCAGCGGGGCGAGCTCAGGGGCCGGGCCGGGCCGGGCCGGGCCGACCGGCTCGCTCAGCGCTGGCGCCCAGCTGGCTGTCGAAGGTCCGCCAGCGCTCAGCTCGGAGGCCGCACTGGGCTCTAAGGACGCGGGGCCACAGCCGGGAAGGGCCGTCCGCGGGGAAGACTCCCTCACCTGCAGGTCTTCCAGCGCCACCACTTCGCTGAGCACCGACTCCATCTCCCCCAATCCCGGAAGCAGAAGCCGGAAGCGGAACGGGTTCCCAAACGGAACCAGAAGTCTTTTTCCATACTTTTAAACGAGCCTCTCTCTCTTCCTCTCTGTGGTAGCTCCGCTAGCTCTCCTCCGCCACGCCCTGTTTTACGTCACGCACCCGGCTCCGCCTCTCCCCTCCAAGAGCGCGGAGGCAGCTTCCAATAGAATTCGAGAAGAACGAGGACTGCTCCCCATTCATTGGCCGAGGAGAGGGAAGAGCCCTCCTCCATTCCCCGAACGTTCTCATAGCCCCGCGCTGATAGGCTGTTGGCCTCTTGCTACCGTGACGATTCAAACAGGGCGTGGCCCGTCGGTACTTAAGTGGGGGGAGGGGCTCTAGCTTAAAAAGTAGTAGAGGTCGACTTTTTTGCAATATAAATAATTTGAATTATTTTTCCCCGTAAATTTCAACAAAGCCAAAAAACCCCTCCTTAAAAGACAGAAAAGATACGTTTTGACATATATTTAAATAAATGCCTTAAATGAGTACTTGGGAGTCCATAAACATAGAACTGGCAATAAAAATGGTTATGCAGAAACTTAAAGAGAGACAAACGAAGTGTCCATATTTCATCCAGTTGCAGGTGGGGCCTAAATAGCATCTACCAGACTTAGAAAGCACTGGTAGGTCCACCATCTGTAACGCCATAGGAGGTAGATGATTATGCTCCCGGTATTGTTGTCTTTTAGCCATCAGTGACCTTGTGTTAACTGCCAAGCAGCACGTAACAATTTTGGCAGAATATGTACATTAATAAATACTAAAGAACATCCCAATACAAAGTTTATGTGCTCCCCAGAGAGGTTCTCCTTGTGCCTTCATTATTTGTTTTTTGGTGCCAGGCCAAGACCTTTTTATTTAGACGTCATTTTAATTGTTAGTTTTATTTATTGATTTTATATTTTCGGCCAGGACATCTCGAATTATATTGTTGTTATATGTTTAAGATGTATTTATTTATTTATTGGTGTGAGCTGCCCCGAGGCTTCGGCAAAGGGGGCGGCATAGAAGCCTACTAAATAAATAAATTATAGCCTCCTCCCAAAAAGATAGTATTGGACATCTGTTGCCAAGATGGATGGGTAAAGGGCAGTATTAGTGATACTGCACCTCCAGCAATCAGACAGCTTAGACAAACCCATATTGAAAAGACATTTTGGCAGCCATTAAAGACAAAGCAAAAATGGTTGCTGAATAAGATGTAAGCTAAAATCTGATGTTCGGGAATGAATGTACAAATAGCCATATGTGAATTGGGTAAAATAGGGGAAAAATCCATATTCTATTCTTACTTAAGGCCCTGTGTATCATATTAATTTGTCAATATTAAGTAATTACTCACTCTGATAGTCCTTCTTAATGTCTGTTTTTATTAGCTGTTTTAAGCTTTTTTAATGTTTTTCTGATTTTATGTATTTTTATTGTACTTTTATCTTTTTTATGCGGCATAATTTGATTACTTTTATCTTTTTTTATGGACTGTGTCAACTGCCCAGAGAGCTTTGCTGCGGGGCAATATAGTAACGAAATAAATATATTATAAACCTGGATTCTCAGGTGATAGATCTGATCAGACTTAGTATTTCTAGCAGCAAGGGAGATTCTGATGCTGTAAAAGCAGAAAGGCCAAACTCGGATTCTAACAAGCACTGCAATTACAGACATTGCCATTCAGCCACGGCAGGTAAATCATAGCATGCAAAGCAGAAAGTGACAAAAATCATCAGCCCCAGCTAATTTACCCAGGGTGAACATCAGTTTATCCTTTCGAATCTGCCCTATGACCATTTTCTTACCAATTTTTAAACCTGAGTTTCTCCATGCAGTCAAATTAGCATGACTCTGAATAAGAAGAAGAGGAACAGACCTATGATGCATAGATAAGAGTCCTGTTTAGGTCTGTAAAAAACTGCTTTTAAAAAAGGAACCTTTCTTTTGACAGCTGTCAGAAGCCTTTTTTTTTTTTTTCTGGTTAGTTGTGAAGTTGTGCGGGACCCATCATGACCCCATGGGTTCCCATAAATGGGGTGGGATGCACATGTACCTTTTCCCAAGCACCTGGAATTTCAAGAAAGGGCAGAAAAGGTGGAAGACACTCACTACCCACTTTTCCAAGCAAAGATCTTTTCCCCTTACAGTTCCCCATTCAATAATCGTGAATAGAGAAGCACAGTAACTAGATGCAGCCTTGCTTGATCAGCATCCATGGCTGGTACCTGCTGGACTTTTATAGGAGGGAGTTAGCATGAAAGTGAACACTCAGGGCGCTTCATTCTGGGCACCTGCACACTTGTGTTGCTCAGAAAGACTGGAAATAATACTACTTTGAACATCTGGAAAAAATATTTGCACATTTCTGGCATCGGTTGATTTCATTTGCTGTCAAGTCATCTCCAACTCATGGCTACCCTATGAATAAAACCCCTCCAAAATGTTCTATCTGTGTCTGACCTGCTCAGTTCTTGTCAATAAATTTAATAATAATAATAACAGGTGGCAAACCAGAAATGGCAGCTCCAATCTGCCACTTAGGTGCTTGGGAGGAGCTGTCACTAGCCGATGCAGAGATGGCGACAAAGACAAAAGGAAAAACAGCTATGGAAGTAACCGTGAAGTGCAGCAGGGTGAGGGGCAAAGGTGTCTTCCGCCATCAGGTCCCTTGGGATGCCTCGTGCATCACCTGGGGAAGAAGGAGCCAGGTGTGCGCCATCACCCACTGGGCACAATGGTTGTACCACAAACAGCCCACACCATGTAGGTAACTTGCAGGGTGGGTTGCATGTTCTGTGAACTCACCCAGTGACTGATAACAGATTTGGCTAACTGAAAGCAACAAGGGTTAAAGCCAAGGTGCCGCTTTTCCTCAGATGCACCCTCCCCAATCGGTCTGTGAAAAGTTCAGCATCTTAAATGAAGAAGTCCTTTTTGGACGGGTGTGAGAATCCTGCAGCCTTCCAGTACATCTCTGGAAGGATTGTCTGTGAGTCATGGGTCAACTGGATGTCATTTATTTATTTTTTATTTATTTATTTTTCAATTTATATCCTGCCTTTTTCCTTCAAAGTGCTCAAGGCAGCTTACATCTCCTCCTCCATCTTATCCCCACAACAACAACAACCCTGCGAGGTAGGTTGGGCTGAGAGTCTGCGACTGGCCCAAAGTCACCCAGTTGGCTCCATGGCTGAGCGGGGACTCGAACCCGGATCGCCTGAGTCCCCGTCCCATGCTCTTCACCGCTACGCCACACTGGCCATGTCATCTGTGGGACACACATAAATCTTGGACTTCCCGTCTGCAATCATTGGCACTGATTCTTGACACAAGATGAAATTCTCACTCATGCAAAAATAGGTACCGAATCAGGCAGGAAAGTGTTAAGGAGGCGTTTCAATTCATGCTTGAACCTGCCCTCAATTTCAGGCACTTACCTACTATTTTCTCAGTGGTAATTGGAACAAAAATAACCAAACTCCCAGGACATACCATTTACTAGCGGGTGGCGATAAGGGTATTGCTAATGCTAGTAATGTGTTGCTTATTTGGTTACTGAGGCAAAATGAGCTTCGGGGTGGAAATTAGTATCTCTGCTTGAAAAGTTTCTGAGCCCAAAGTTTGTCTTCAAGTAAACATCAAGGACTAGCACTTGTTTGTCTGGTAGCGACTGTTATTTTATTTCTGTACCACCAATGCGCTGTGGTAATTCTTTTTTCCTTTCATCTTCTGGATGAAATAATTTGAATTCTTTGGCCTTGGTAGGTGATCTATAGGGCATAGGGTTATTGTTTTTTAAACACATACAAGGGGGTAACGTTTTGGAAGGCACAGAGAAATAAATAATTTTGACTTATTAGCTGCAAATTCAGAAGCAGAGGCAATGCTAGACACTGAAAATATTTGGAGCTCAGGCCTAGATGACAAAGTAACAAGCAAAAATGCCCAAATGTCCAGGTGCTCTTTTCGATATAATCTAAATTAACTGTGCGTCTTTAAAGGACCCTGTCTCTGAAGGATACCCTTATTTGTAAAAAGGGGTGTAGGAGCAGGGGAGAAGAGGGCGTTTGATTTCAGCCAAAAATTCTCTGGCAGGAAGAATCAGTGGTGGGCAGCAAGAGGGGAGGCCCATGTCGGCAAAAAGCCAGCTCAGCCAGGGGGTCGGATGCAGCCGACGTCCTCAGTACCCCAGCAGCTTGCTTTCAGCAGGTGCTCCTTGAGGGCAGGGCGGCAGGGCAGATGGTCTCCCAAAGATCCAAACGATCCATTTGGGGTTCCAGCCCTCATGTTGGGATCTGGACTGCTCTAGCGGCCAGAACCAGAACCGCCACCACGTTTGCAGGATCAGTCCCTCGGTCTAGTGATGAGCACCAGGTGAGCCAAGCAAGAGCGAAGTCCTCCCTCAGCAGCACAGGTCCTCTTGCTTGCTTGCCGCAGAGCCTGGGTCCCGCCTGCCCTTTCCAGCTCCCGGCTCCTGCAGTGCCTCCTATTATTATTATTATTATTATTATTATTATTATTATTATTATTATTA